AGATAGATAGATAGATAGATAGATAGATAGATAGATAGATAGATAGATAGATAGAGATACAGATAGACTCAGAGATACATAGATATATAGATATAGACAGAGACATAGATAGATAGATAGATAGATAGATAGATATAGACAGAGACACAGATAGATAGATAGATAGATAGATAGATAGATAGATAGATAGATAGATAGATAGAGATAGATAGATACAGACAGATAGACTCAGAGATACATAGATATATAGATATAGACAGAGACATAGATAGATAGATAGATAGATAGATAGATAGATAGATAGATAGATAGATAGATAGATAGATAGATAGTTAATATATAGACAGATAATAGATGAGATAGATGAGAGAGGTAGCTTCTTCAGTTCTGTTCTTGAAAGCGTTTCGCTCCTCATCCAAGAAGCGTCTTCAGTTCCGATTTCTTCAGTCCTTCAGTCAGAACAAAAGAAGCTTCTTGGGTGAGAAGCGAAAGTCCGGCTGCCTTTTGACAAAAAAAACCATTTTGGGGTTCTTTCTCAGCAGGTCCTTTTGATGGGGGACCCCATTATCTTAAGTCCTTTGCCGTGAAGACCCGGGGGGGGGGGAGAGAGAGACAAAACAGAGAGATGGAAAAATAGACCAACCTCCGTCTATTATGGAAGACAGAAAAGAAAGAACACACAATGCTCTTAAAAATAGCTTATGAGCTTGCCTGGTGGAGGGGAGAGGGGAAAAAAAAACCCACAGGAAACACCTCATCCTGACCCATAAATTACACTAATTAGGGAACAAAGTGGCCAGCCGTATTTCACAGCACGCTGCGAAACAGGGATTGTTCTTAACACACACACACAGAGAGAGAGACAAACACAGGGTACCTGCTTGAAAAGCTGCAGCTGGATGGCATTCTGCAGGAATTGCCGCATGGTGGCTGACCGGTGGGAGATGAATATTTCTTCGCAGAAGGTGATGGGCTCGGCCTGGAGATAGGAAAATGGGGGGAGAGGGGTGTGTGTGAACGGACAACTTGCCCAGCGCCCTGGAGGGAGGACGGCGGATGGTGGAAACCTGGGTCCACCATCCAGATGAGCATCTACGGAGATTCTCCATCCTCCAGGTCGTGTTTGTCCCAAAGGTGCTTTTTTCAAGAGGCCACTGGACTTTCTTGTTTTTCTTTGAAGATGTTTCTCTTCTCATCCAAGAAGCTTCTTCAACTCTGATGGTGGAGAATGGAAGGATTTATACTCCTTGCAGACCGCTGGTCATTTGCATCCCTTTAGAGAGTCGTTGAGTCCACCTGGAGGTTTATCTGTGTCTTCAGGGTCTTGTCCACATTCTGGACAGAGTGGACCGCTGGTTTGAAAGAAGGGTCAAAGAGGCCACCTAGGTCAAAACTGAACAGCCCTCTCTCAACAGAGGGGGAGGGACACGACACTATCTAACTCCAGTCTACCACACCGTCCTTTCGACCGGATCCAAGAAGGCTCCCCACCCATTTGCACCACTCAGGTGATCCTAAGGACACAGGTGGCCTCAACGACTCTCTAAAAGAAGGCAAATGTTTGTCCACATTTTGGACAAAGAGGGATCAAAGAGGCCATCTAGGTCAAAACTGAACAGCCCTCTCTCAATAGAGGGGGAGGGATACGAGATCATCTATCTCCACTCTACAACACGGTCCTTTCAGCAGTTCCAAGAAGGCTCCACATCCATTTGCACCACTCAGGTGACTTTGAGTACACAGGTAAGCCTCCACGTGGCCTCAATGACCCTCTAAAATAAGGCAAATGACCAGCGGTCTGCAAGGAGTATAAATCCTTCCCTTTCCCACCATTCAGTCAGAGCTGAAGAAGCTTCTGGGATGAGAAGTGAAACGTCTTCAAGGAAAAACAAAATCCAGTTGCCTTTTGAAGAACTGAAGAAGTTTCTTGGATGGGAAGTGAAACATCTTCAAAGGAAAAACAAGGAAGTCCAGTTGCCTCCTGAAAAAGCACCTTTGGGACATCCCAGTCACCATGCTGGGGAGCCAACCTCCCCCACTGAAGGCCACAGGAATCCCACTTGAAGACCCCCACTCTTACCAGTTGGAAGAAGTGGGGTTGGTGGGCATTTGTGGAGGAGACCTTCCACTTATACCCAGAGTATGTTTTTCCTTCATGGGCATGCTCCAGGGTGAAAGAAAGCCAGCAAGTAAATGAGCCTCAGTTTGAGGATGGCCCATCTCCTTGGGGACAGCCAGGGGTTCCCCAAAACCATGCCCTGGCACCCTTCAATCAAAGTCGACCAACCTTGCAAAACGGCCCATGTTCCTGAAACATGAATTTCTCCTTTTTGCCTGCAACAACTGCAATGCCCAACTGGGTGATCACCACTTTCTCTGTTCGGCGTGAGGATCCCACCCACAGAGAAACCCCCTCTAAAGCAAGTATAGGGGGTACCTGGCTCAATGGTAGCAACTGTGAGAGGGACCTTGGCGTCCTAGTGGACAATCCCTTAAATAGGAGCCAGCCGTGTGCTGCAGCTGCCAAAAAAGCCAACACAGTGCTGGGCTGCATTAACAGAGGGATAGAATCAAGATCACGTGAAGTGTTAATACCACTTTACAAGGCCTTGCTAAGGCCACACTTGGAATCCTGCATCCAGTTTTGGTCTCCACGATGTAAAAAAGATGCTGAGACTCTAGAAAGAGTACAGAGAAGAGCAACAAAGATGATTAGGGGACTGGAGGCTAAAACATACAAGGAATGGCTGCTGGAATTGGGTCTGTCTAGTTTAATGAAGAGAAGGACAAGGGGGGGAGACATGATAACAGTGTTCCAATATCTCAGGGGCTGCCCCAAAGAAGAGGGAGTCAAGCTATTCTCCAAAGCGCCTGAAGGCAGGACAAGAAGCAACAGATGGAAACTAACCAAGGAGAGAAGCAGCCTAGAATTAAGGAGAAACTTCCTGACAGTTAGAACAATTAACCAGTGGAACAACCTCCCTCCAGAAGCAGTGAATGCTCCAACACTGGAGGTTTTTAAGAAGAGACTGGATAGCCATTTGTCCGAAATGGTGTAGGGTTTCCTGCCTGAGCAGGGGGTTGGACTAGATGACCTCCAAGGTCCCTTCCAACTTTCTTCTTCTTCTTCTTCTTCTTCTTCTTCTTCTTCTTCTTCTTCTTCTTCTTCTTCTTCTTCTTCTTCTTCTTCTTCTTCTTCTTCTTCTTCTTCTTCTTCTTCTTCTTCTTCTTCTTCTTCTTCTTCTTCTTCTCCTTCTCCTTCTCCTTCTCCTTCTCCTTCTCCTTCTCCTTCTCCTTCTCCTTCTCCTTCTCCTGTCTATTTCCCCCCAAATTCAGGAACTCCCCATTGCTAATTGTTTTCCTTCTGCTCTCCAAAGCAGGGCCAAAACCCCCAACCCCCCAAAAAACCTCCAGAGGAATCCTGCTGTGTCTTCCAGATCTCAGTCCCCACCCCACCTCGCCCCGTCTGCAAATTCTGCAGAGCCTGTGGTCCCCGCGAGAGGGAGAGGGGGGTCTTTCCTGCAAGGGGGGGCTAATCCTCTGTGCAAGCACGTGACCGCTGCCATCCACGCTTGCGGCTTCCTTTCACACCTCCGTCACGGGGAAGAGCCACCCCGATGCCTTTCATCCCCACAGGAGGGGGAAAAAGAGAGGAGAAGTGACCGTCTAATTAGATCACGTGGGCCCCGGGAAGCATCTGGCAACAGAACAGGGCAGTTTACACAGCTTGAGTTGTCGTGGAGACAAGCACATGACCAGCTCAGCACCACAACTCCGGGGCAGTGGTCCAAGCGCACTCTTCACACGCTCTGACAGAGAGCAGATGGGCGACGAGTCGGGAGGCCAGGAAGACACCAGAGGAAGCCTCCCAACTCTGGCAAACCTACGTGGGTACCCCCATCCTTTCCATCCTGGATTTATAGACACACACACACACGCCGAATGTCATCCTGCCAACAACACCGAGGGCTCCCTTTCCTAGCAGACCAGCACCTGGCACACTGCAAGACCTGGTCTGGTTCTCCAACCCTTGTAGAGTCAGTGTGTTGTGTTGAGTATGCCTTGGAATAGCTGCTCTGCTGGCTACACCTCCCCGGTGCCAAGTTTGTTGAGCAAACACGGGCAAAAAAACACGCACCAGTCTCACACACGTGCCCAGAACTCGGCATTTTTGGGAGGACAAGTTGGAAGAGTCTCCGTTTTCATGGTCCCTCCAGGCAAAGGTTGAGATTTTTTTTCCCTACTCCTGTCTTGTCCTCTGCAAAGGGGACCCAGAAAATTGGGAGGCAGAACCCCTAGAATTTGTTGTTGTTAGTTGCGAAGTCATGTCCGACCCATCGCGACCCCACGGACAACGTTCCTCCAGGTCTTCCTGTCCTCTACCATCTTCTGGAGTCCATTGAAGCTCACGCCTGCTGCTTCAGAGACTCCATCCAGCCACTTCATTCTCTGTCGTCCCCTTCTTCTCTTGCCCTCCATCTTTCCCAGCATTAGGCCCTTCTCCAGTGAGTCCTTCCTTCTCCTTAGGTGGCCAAAGTACCTGAGTTTCAACTTCAGGATCTGGCCTTCTAAAGAGCAGTCGGGGTTGATCTCCTCTAGGACTGACCGGTTGGATCGCCTTGCAGTCCAGGGGACTCGCCAGAGTCTTCTCCAGCACCATAGTTCAAAGGCCTCCATTCTTTGGCGCTCAGCCTTCCTTATGGTCCAACTTTCACAGCCATCCATTGCAACTGGGAAAACCGTGGCCTTGACTGTACGCACTTTTGTTGGCAGGTTAAGATGGCAACCTTATCACACGCAGGTGGACTCGTGACGGAGCGTGTGGTTTTCTCTTCTGGTGCAGAAGAGTTCAGCTCTCTTTGCCTTGCACGACCGGAAAAGAATTTGATCCAGCTGTCTCATTTTGCCCCAGTCAGGATCTTCTCTTTCATATCATGGCCAACCAGCTGAATTGCAACGAATGAAAAAGAAGAGTAGACACTTGCCCTGAAATTCCCAGGAGGAACACCACCTGGTGATGCAACAAGGTTCAGTTCAGATCCTTTAATCCAGGCTTCGCTCTACCTTACAAGCTCTCTTCAAAAGCATCCTGAGGAATTATTAGTACCGCTTTAAAGAAGCCTTAGTGAGGCCACACCTGGAATACTGCAGCCAATTCTGGTCACCATACTACAAACAAGATGTTGAGATTTTGGAAAAAGTGCAGAGAAGAGCAACTAAGATGATCCAAGGCCTGGAGACTAAAACATACGAAGAACGGCTGCAGGACTTGGGTTTGGCCAGTCTAGAGAAAAGAAGAAATAGGGGAGACATGATAGCAGCCTTCCAGTATTTGAGGGGCTGCCACAAGGAAGAGGGGGTCAAATTATTCTCCAAAGCACCAGAGGGAAGGACAAGAAGCAATGGATGGAAACTCATCAAGGAGAGAAGCAACCTAGAATTAAGGAGAAACTTCCTGACAGTGAGGACAATTAACCAGTGGAACAGCCTGCCTCCAGAAATCGTGGGCGCTCCATCACTGGAGATTTTTAAGAAGAGGCTAGACAATCACTTGTCTGAAATGGTATAGGTTCTCCTGCTTGAGCAGGGGGCTGGACTAGAAGATCTCCAAGGTCCCTTCCAGCTCTATTCTATTCTATTCTATTCTATTCTATTCTATTCTATTCTATTCTATTCTATTCTATTCTATTCTATCGTATAAGCAACCTGGAATTAAGGAGAAACTTCCTAACAGTGAGGACAATTAACCAGTGGAACAGCTTGCCACCAGAGATTGTGGGTGCTCCATCACTGGAGGTTTTTAGGAGACTGGACAGCCACTTGTCTGAAATGGTATAGGTTCTCCTGACTGAGCAGGGGGCTGGACTAGAAGACCTCCAAAGGTCCCTTCCAACTCTATTCTATTCTAATTTTAAGAGTTAAGAGTCTCGAAACAGCCACTGCTGACAGCCACAATTCGGGTTAAACTCTCTTGCTATC